TGTATATATATATATATATATATATATATATATATATATTAGGGCTGTCAGTTTAACGCATTAATTAGTTATGAAGAAAAACGCAATTAAAATATTTTAATGCAGTTAACACACTGGCCCCGCCTCCAGACCTGTACATCATCTTACATTTCATACAGTTGACTGTTGACAAATATGATGCTGGGTAACAACTCCATGAATGCAGTTATGCCCTAAAATTCAAGATATTGAATGAGTATGAGTTTTTGTCTCATATTTATATCATACGATATCACACGAGCAGGGAGAGCAGTATTACACGAGTGCTGGTTTTGTCCCGAATATCACGAGTTTAAACGTGATTTTATAAACAACAGTTCAGTAAATATGAAGTTGATATTATGTTATATATTTTAAACACAATATTATGTGTTTTCGCTCAATTTTGCAGAGAAAATATTACCTTTAAGCCACAGCAGAATTGCTGCTAGTCTCCGAGCAAAACAGGTGTTTAGTTTCTGAATGAATTCGCGTTTTGAACGAATCGTGTGAATCAATGATTCAAAGATCCATTCATAAAGTGAGCCGTTTACTTAATTCCTGAATGAATCAGCCGTTTGAACGAATCGAATGTCTCATAAAGACATTTACCGCCACCTGCTGGCAGATTAGTTTCTTATTTAGTGTACCATTTCATAAAAATAAATAATAATAATAAAAATAAAAATGTTAAAGGGATAGTTCACCCAAAAAAATCATTCACTCACCCTCATGTCGTTTCAAACCTTTCTTTTGTGGAACATAAAAGAAGGTATTTTGAAGACTGTTGGTAACAAAGCTGTTTTGGTTACCAATGACTTTCATCGTATGAACAAACAATACTGAGATGTTTCTCAAATTATCTTCTTTTATGTTCCATAGGCCGTTGTGGCCTAAATGTTTGTGTAATAAATGTTATGTTGTCAAACTAAATATTTCTTTCTAAAGATACAATTAGAAATGTCTACTTGATACTTGATACTCATTTAAAAAAAAAAATAGCTTTAAATAATCTTTTGTGGGTATTTTCACAGTCAAATTTTTGCGATTTTATGCTTAAAACAAGGAACATATCTGTAAGAGTTTCTTTCTTCTGGTAGAGGACATTGATGACTTTAATATATATGTGTGTGATTTCAGCTGTCTATCTAGTGAACGTCACTCCAGCGCAGTCATGTTCATGAAACATCTGAGAAACATCAGCAGAAGAGCAAACTCTGACAGCACCGTCAGTCCGTCATCACACCGACACAAACACACACTGCAGCTCAATGTGGAGTCACTCCACTTCTGTCCTTCTGTTCACACAGCATTCACATCACATCCGTCGCTCTCCTCTGGACACTGAAATCACACACAGAGTCCTGACTTCTTCACACATTCTCATACTGTCCATCATCGTTGCTTCCACTGTTTGTGCTTAGTTATATATATATATATAGTTAAATATATATATATATATATATATATGTATTGAAACCAAATGCAATGAGAAATGAAATGAGAAACGTTGCCTTAGCAACTATATCTCTATTTTTATACCACTGACAAAGGTGCTTTAATATTTTACAATCACTGTCAAATGTTTAAACATTCATGTTTGACTGGTTTCATGGATAATTTTGGTAAACGTGCATTGTTAACATTATTATGAGAGGATAACAGGTGTTCTGAAATTAATGCATACAAGGAAAAACATTAAACATTGAAAGAAACAATGCATGTATGGAACATGACTGTTAATATCTATATTTCTATACAAACTCAAACATGTTTCTCAGTTTGTGAATACCTAGATATAATTGTTTAGATTTATTTCTGTTCAAAACTAAAATAACTGTCTTTAGTAAGCAAAAAGAAAGTTAATCAAGTATATATGCTTTAATTGAATGATTCAACAAAATAAATCAGCCGTCATGTTTTGTTTCCCTCAACCCATAGGTACCAAGATGGCTCTGAAGTTTCTAAAGAAGAAAACAACCAAGCTGAAGAGTTTCTTGAGAGAGTACAGCATCTCGCTCTATCTGTCTCCATGTCCCTTCATCATCAACATGTTTGGCATTGCGTTTGAAACAGAGGAATACTATGTTTTTGCGCAGGAATATGCGCCGTCCGGTGACCTGTTCGATATCATTCCACCACAGGTAATGCAGCGACAATTAACAAGCATAATGCACATGAATAAAGCAAAATCATTTCTTTCAAAATCATGATTTACACACCCTCATGTTGTTCAATTTCCCTGGAACACAAAAGTAGTGACTAATCAAGACCCAAAATATACAAAAAAGCCATAAAGTCAAGTCACCTTTATTTCTGCAGAGCTTTATACAGTTTGTTACAAAGCAGTTTCACAGTAATAAGCAGGAAAATAACAGTGTTATAATTAGTCAATTATGAAACAAATTCAGTGCAGCTATAAAGCAGCAGACAAAAGTGTCATTATTCAGCTCAATTCAGCTTAGTATTGCAAAGTTTATCAATTACAAAACAACTTTAATTCAGCTATAAAGAAACTACAGAAGGTAATAGTGTTATTATTCAGCTCAGTGCAATAAGTGTCAGTGTTGAAAAAAAATAATCAATTCTGAAATGAATTCAATTCAGCTGTGTTTCTGAATTGTCATTATTCTGCTCAATTCAGATTCATCATTGAATCAATTTAGTTTAGTAACAGTGCAGTGTTTTAAAGTTCATTATTTATAAAACAAATTTTATTTCATCTGTAAAGCAGCTCTACACAAGACATCACTTATTATTCAGCTTAATTCAGTTCAATTTAGATTCAGTTTAGTCAATTACAGTGTCGATGTTTATCAATTATAAAACATGTTCAATTTAGCTATAGAGAAATTACAGAAGATAATACTGTCATTATTCATATCAATTCAGTTCAATGTTGATTTAGTCAATAAGTGTGAAGTTTGCAAAAATCAATCAATTCTGAAACAAATTAAATTCAGCGGTATTTAGCGGTCACATTTATTGTTGAATCAATTTAGTTTAACAACCGTTAATGTTGCAGTTTATCAATTATGAAATTCAGTTTCATCTGTAAATCAGCTCTACAGAAGACAAGAGTCATTATTCAGATCAATTCTATTCAATGTGGATTCAATTTGCTTCAAGTTTTGTTCTCATCTGATAGTGCCAGTGCAGTCAGATCGCCAATATTACTAGATTTTTTTTTTTAAACAATACGTTTATAAAACATAGTTCATATTCAGCCAAAATATGTCATTTCAACGCATGATTGTGGGTGACCTGCCATTTATTAATCATTACGTCGTTCAAAACCTTTCTGAATTTCTTCTGTTGAGCAGATAAGAAGATTTTGAAGAATGTGCTGAGAGTATTTTTTCCATACTATGGAAGTCAATGGCTACCCTCAACTGTTCTTGTTTTCAAAATATCTTCTTTGATGTTCGAGAGATTGGATTACAGAATTTTCGATTTTGGGTGAAATATCCCTTTAAATCTTGCTTAATACAAGGCTCTGACCGTGATGATTTTTGTTGTGTCGGTGACTGATTCTTCTCAATCTTCTTGCTCAGGTGGGTTTGCCGGAGCCGGTGGCGAAGCGCTGCGTCCATCAGGTGGCCATTGCTCTGGACTACCTGCACTCCAAAAAGCTGGTGCACAGAGACATCAAGCCCGAGAACATCTTAATCTTTGACAAGGAGTGTCGCAAGGTCAAGCTTTCGGACTTCGGCATGACGCGGCGTGCCGGCTCGCCGGTGAAGCGTGTGAGTGGCACCATCCCATACACGGCTCCTGAGCTCTGCGACACGACCAAGCACGAGGGCTTCTGCGTGGACTACAGCACAGACGTGTGGGCCTTCGGAGTGCTGCTGTTCTGCATGCTGACTGGGAACTTCCCCTGGGAGAAGGCCATGCCGTCTGACACTTTCTACGAGGAGTTTGTGCGCTGGCAGAGGCGGCGGACCGGCGCGGTGCCGTCGCAGTGGCGCAGATTCACGGATGAAGCCCTGCGCATGTTCCGAAAGCTCCTGGCCCTGGAGCAGGAGCGCCGCTGCTCCGTCAAGGAGGTGTTTGCGCATTTTGGCCACCGTTGGATGCTGGATGGCCAGGCTGGCGGAAGCCACCATCAGGCTGCGCTGAACTCTTCGTCTGAGGAGGAGGAGCTGCTGGTGGACCGTATGAAGCAGCAGACCCTGTCTCCGACAGCTTCCAAGACCAACGGCATGGAGTCGGGAGCGGCTCACCACTTCACCTCTGTGTCCACGAACAGCTCCGTGTCTTCCACCAACAGCTACGAGCGCTCGGCCAGAGACAGCCCGCCTAGCAGCCGCATCCTGGTCACGACGCCGATAGAGATCTGCGTGTAGAGATCCAACTGCTGGCGAAATTAATGTGCGCACAAGCAGATGCATCCATAAGAGACTCTAAACTCTCATGTACATCTGGAACGGAGTCTCTGTTACAACTAAGGCTGCACGATAAATCGCATGTGATTGTAATGCGCATCTCGTCAGTTCTCATGTTTTCGAAATGATACAATGAAATTGTCTTTTAGAAGACCAAACATTTTCAAAACACTTAAAAAACTGAACATTCAGAAATCACATTTTCAATAACGCTTTCACATCTTAATGGGAACATTAGCAAAATGTTCTAAGAACATGTTTTTATTTTCTGGAGTGTCATTACTGTTATAGCTGTAGCGTGGACTTACAGAATTAGAATGATTTTTATAACGTCGTAGTTCTAGTTATCGTTATCATCTTTGGTGTGAATGGGCCTTTACTCATGGATAAGCAATGAACCAATAAATGAGTGGATTGAACATTTGAATCCAGTTCCAGCTCAAAGAAACTTGCGGGAAGAATTTCGAGGGCTTCCCCGAAACGTCTCTAAAGCAATATATGAAGCAAAAAAAGAAAAGAAAAAAGGAGAATATCTGGGATCTTCATTCTTGTGAGGAATTCATCAAATAAACATTTCAGTGAATAAGCAAACAGTGAGAACTGGGACATTGACGATGTTTGCCGTGGTAATATGTGAGTGAGTTTGTGTGCGTGTTTGAGATTTAGTGCGTACGAATTATTTAAAACCTGGTGTTCAGTGCGTGCAACCCAATGAAAGCTTTTCCAGAGGTTCACGACACTGATCATGATCACGTGACAGATTTTGCATGTACTCGAAGTGTTTCTAAATCTGACTTGTAGACTGTTGTTTTGAATTGACTTAATTTATCAGGATTCTTAGTATTCAGAAATATCTATTTTTTCAGTTGCTATGTAATGATTAACAAACATCGATATTTTTCATTTAATTTTAGTACTTTAGCACAGTTGTGCCAAACTTATTTTTTAATGTGATGTTCTTGTGGCAGATGTGAAGGTCAGCTGCTACATGAATTTAAAACATGGTAACACGAAGGTTGTTTAGGAGTATTTTTTAAATTTCTGAGCGTTCGGCTGTGATTGCTTTACGAGTCGGACCTTGTGCACTGGTTGTAGTGGTGAACACTATGTATTTGAAGACTGACAGGTTGAAAAGATGTATTTTTGCCTACTGTACAATTTTGTTTTCTTGGTGTTCCCCCTTTAAAGTCTTATATTTTTTCTACATTGGTTTAAACTGAAACTCAAAACAGAGCGCAAATGTGTGCAAGCGTTCACGTTCTAATAACTGCATGACCATGATGAAAAAACATTGAAGATATGTGAGAATTACTGTAATGTGAACATTTTTGCTGTCACAATTTCTTGCATAATGTTTCAGGGTGAAATTGTAGTAGATGACGTAGGGCGAAACATCCAGCCAGCCAATTGAATCGTTCGTTTTGTTGTTGTGTTTGTGTACTGCTGTTGTTGTTGTTGTTAATTTCTCACTGATCAAGAACTACCTGATTGAAACACCTCACACCTGCGCTGCTACTGTCAGGTACTGAAAGCGATTATTTTCAGGCGAGCTTGAACGGAAAGTCTTACTAAGAAGTTCAAGGCCTTGGAGACATGCAAAAGGGTTGTTTTAATTGGAATTGGTGTGTTTTATTTTATGCTACATGTCTGCATGAGCTTTCAACACGTATTGGGAGTATGTTCTGAGAAAAAAAAAAAAAGGTTAGCTATAGTCGTATCAACCTCTTTGCATCAAAAGTGGCCCATCAGAGCATAAATATCCCGTTCTTACATATCGTAGACATGCAGCTCTGCTGGAAACTACACATACTGACCATCAAACGCCTTCAGCAGTGCTTGACCTTGTTTTAGTAATGAATGAAAAGACCTGGAGTTTTTGGGATCGGTCAGCCGTTGCCGTGCTGAAGCGTTTTGGTTTCTGGTGATAGTTTTGATTTCATTAGCCATCAGTGGGCTTTCAGTCATCAAAACAGTCTAAAATCTGTCTTTGCAATACAACTGTCTTCCTGTAAGTGCAGACTTATTCAGAAATAAATCTTGACAGAAATGTGCACTTGTTTGTTTGTCTAGGTTTGAATGACTGGTTTTGGCTTTAATCTCACAATTCAGAATGTTTCTCGCAGTTGCTACTTGATATCTCACAATTCAGACATTTTTTTCCATCAGAATTCTAAGTTTACATCTTGGAATTCTGTCTAAATTTCACAATTCTGGCCGTTTTTCCTCACAATTCCAAGTTTGCATGTTGCGAATCTGACTTTTTTCTTTCTTTTTCAGGATTCTGAGGTTAAATTGTACAATTCTGACGTTTTTCTTTTTTCACTTTTGCATCCCACAACTTTGACTTTTTTCACATTTTGCAATTCGGAGTTTGTTTCACAATCCCGACTCAGGATTTAAATGTAATAATTCGGATTTTTCCTTGTAATTCTGAGTTGAAAGACTTGAAAGTCTGACTTTTCTCCTCAGAATTCTTTTTTTTTTTTTCACGTTTTGCAATTCAGATTTGTTTTTTCTCTGAATTCTTAAATTTCACAATTATGACTTTTCTTCCTCTGACTTTTTTCGTGGAATTCCGAGTTTACATCTTGCAAGTCTGATCTTTTTTCTTCTTTGAACTCAGTTAAAATTGACGTTTGTTCTTGCAATTCTGGCTTCTTTTCTTGGAATTGCAAGATATAAAACTATATGAAAAATACAATATATATATATATATTTAAAGTTTGAATTGTGGGAATTAAAATCTCTCTCTCTGTGGCAGAAATAAGCATCCATAAATGTTATGTAGAAAATTATATTTATATATTGCTAGCCATATTAATCATGATAAAACTATATGAGTAAATACAAACGAGTGTCCAACAGCACATTAAGCAAAATAAAAGAAGCCAGTTTATTACGCTGGCCAACTGGGTTTAGTCAGTTCAGGTTAAATACATTTTGGGGTAAGAATGTCAACAACACAGAAGAACCCGGCTCAACCCTGAGATTAAGATCGGAAAGGTTAACGTTTGAGAAAAACAATGCAAACAAAAACGGATTTTGGTACATTTGATAAGATGCTAAAATGTGACAATTCATTCAAGAAAGACAAAAAGAAAAGAAAAAAAGACATTTGCACAAGATTTGTACAGATACAGTCCTGAACAAATATACAGCACAAAACACGAGTACATTAACATGAGCAACATTACAGGACTCGACCTCTCAACACACAAGCTGCCAAAGTACATCAGGCTGTATTTGGCACAGATTCATCTTAAACTTTGAACAAAAATATTGACATAAATAGTCTGTACACATAAGGTGTTGTTTAAATGCCCTGTACATTTACAGAACGAGCCTCCAAATCCTGATCTCTTTCATCAAACGTAAAGCAAGTGCTTCCTGGGTAAAAGTCATAAATAAACTGATAGTGATTTGTCTTAGCAAGGCAGCAACAAATGAATAAACCGACTTTAGAAAAGAATTATAGATTAACAAATGGCATTGAAACATTTCACAACTGTCGAAAGGAAATCTTAAGGGCACCTGAAGTTACAAATCCAAGATGCCATCGCATGAGCGGTTTCCAAACTTTCCTACAGGTAATTTCTGATGGCATCAAGGTGATATATCAATACTAATGCAGGCTTATCATTTACACTAGATAACCGTCTACAAACTACAGATTATGTAGAGGAGACGCATGTAAGTGCATAGAACTAACAAGAAAATCCACTGGCTGTGGTTCAAATGAAGTTATATCTGATCAACTGGAACACTAATATTCAGCATTTACAATAAATGTTTGGATGTTGTGAATTATACAATTAATGTAATTGAAAATGAAGATTAAACGCAGGCACACGTTCACAGAGCGTCTTCCACACTTCATGATGCAAGTGTGTAAATGTGCCGTCATGCTGGAAGAAACAGATCCTCATTCGAGACGCAGATTAAGAACCGCATGAAAACTTTGGGCTTGAATTATGAAGCCAACATACTAATCTCGGACAAAAAGAAATCATCATCCTTTCCCATTTTGTACACAAAGTGCCCTTCTTAACTGCTTGCTAGCTGTTGGTCCCACAACTTTTTTATGCTTCCTTCTTTTACAAAGAGCATTTTTCATGACTAGACGCCAAATGAATAGAAAGTGTTGAATTTATATTTCGACAAGCAGTATATTTAAAATTCAGTTGATTACATTTATTTTCTTCATAAATTAAGACAGAATTAATAAAAAATAGATTTTAGATATATGCATTTCCCAAAAAAAAAAAAAAAAAAAGATTTTGCGCCAGCATATAAATATGACACATATTTTGTAAAATCATATTGGCAAATAAGACGAGCACATTGTGCTGTGGTTCTTCTGCTTTGTGCAATTCTCTCTGACCTTCCCCACAGTCCTCACATCGAACCTCGCAAAGCCACTTTGTCTTTAGTGCGAGTCTCACAATTTAACAAAGTGGCGTTTGTGTGATAGTGACGGTGTTATGAGCAGTGCAACAGCACAATTATTAAGGTGTATGGGTGTTGGCCCGTTCTGTCTGAAGGTCCCACGGAGGAACACTGGAGTTAGAGGTCAAACGCACTCTGTGAGGACAGAAGAGAGCTTCACTATTAAATACTGGATTTGCTGTAATATAAATTGTGCTTTTTATCATCTGAAATGTGCTACGACTTATAATGCAATTAACATCAAGCACGCAAAACATGCTCAAAGCCATACATTTGTGATGAAAAGATGAAGAAAAATGTCATTATAAAACAATCAAATTATAGAGGCATTCATTATAAGCATATTTCTTTGGCAGTGCATGCAACATTTAATGCCATGACTTTATGAATTTAAGACTTTCTGCTCTGATTTAAGAACCACTGAAACCCTGTGTAAAAGCAAAGCATAAATTAATTTATTTAAAGCAAAACTTGTGGCATGTGGGAAATGCACTGTACAAATAAACTTCTTCTGAATACCAGCAAATTTAAAGGAATTGTTGTGGAGTGACTGAAAAAAAATGTTTATAGCATTTATATTATCTGTAAACCGACACGCCTGTTGTTCCTTCTCTCAAAAATGCAATTTTGACTTAGTCACGTGCGACTTATTTTCCAGACAATACGGTGTACATGTATTGAGTGAAGCACTCAAACCTTGCATAGCGTCCTCTTTCTCCTGTGTCACCTGTTGATTTGACGATATGATGATCCTTTAATAGACTTGTTCTAATTTAAAAACAGGAAAGCAAACACATCAATTAATTTCCAAGGGTATAAAGTGTACAGTTCTAGAAAAAATGCAGGATGTTAACAGCAAATCATAATAAAGAATGAAATATAGAAATATATATATATATATATATATATATATATATATTCTATATTTATATTATATTTAAGTTTACATCATATTTTTCATGCACGGGCAGATTTGCATGTTTATTTTCCATGTGTGTCTGACCACAAGTTTGAACACGTCTGCTTAGCAAATGCCGACACAAAAGCTGCTGTTAACAGGCAGATCAGCATTTTGATGTTTCGGACCACAATAAAACGTGTGTGTTTGTGTGTGTGTGTGTCTATTGTGCAACAGAATGCAGAGGACTGCTGATGACTTACCGGACTGCAGTGCACACGTGTAGTGGTATTTGTTTGGGCAGCCTTTGAAAACGCAGCCCAACGTTGCTCCCCTTCTTTGACACGTCGAACAAACCTAAAAAAAATACCAGACGGTTGAGTGTCATTACTGCAGGCTGCTGAGCATTAAAGAATCTGTGTTTCTGAAATCTTACCGACACTTTAGCCAACCTGACCGCATTTTCCAGCCCGTACAGCTTTCCCCGAACCAGAAAGACGCTTGTGGACCATATCGCGCAGTCCTCGTGGAGCCAGTGCTCGTTAGCATTGAGAGGAACCACTGGAGGACTGAACCAATCGGTGTCACCATCCATCCTGGGTCTCTTAGATGAAGGACTATTGGACGACTGGCTATCGCTGGTCCAAAGAGACTCGGTCCATCTGCCCGGAGCAACACGTTTCCCTCGAACAGACGAGTCGGAGTCACTATTATCCTCTTCCTGTGGATTACAAACCGCTTTAGAGGCCGATTTGAAACCTTCAGGGTAATACGGCCCATGCAAGTCTCCGAGGTCCATGGCATTGGCCGAGCCGCCGCAGAGACAGCAGACCAGAACATCCCGCTGTGCGACGTCCACACAGACCCGACCGTACTGCAATCCAGGCGTCACGGGCATCTCACCGGACGCAAACCCACCACACGCCCGCCGCTTTCCCTGCTTGATCCGGACACTGTCCTCGGGATAGTTGACCACCGTACAGATGGGGAAGTCTTTGATCTGCATGCGCACATAAGGCGCGAAGGTCTCATCCCGCACATCCTTCTTCTCCTCGTAGTTCAGACATTTGAGTTTGATTTCTGGTTCCTGTGGCGAGAAAAATGATGCATGGCCGACCGTGTGTTTCTTTCTCTTCCGTTTGGTAGATTTCTTCAGGCCTTGTTGAGCCGGCATTGGTTTTTGATGCTTGACTGGTACCGAATGAAGGTTTCTTATCCTTCCGGAGGATTTTTTCTTTGTGCGTTTTACAAATGCATCTAGCGTCTTTGCAGAAGTTGAGGTAGATAGGGTGGCTTTACGTCTACTTGAACGTCTGACATCGGTTTCTTCTAACGTCTTTTTCTTCTTCTTCTTTACATCCGCCACATTGCGCATCCTTTCCAGCACCTTTTTCTTGGACTTGCTCTTCTGAGCTTTTCTTTTACACACGCGACTCCTGATGGGATGGATGTCTTGAACAATGGCTCCCATTCTTACACCTCGTCTAGCTCTCGGAGGCAGTCTTCTCCTCTCAAGCGCGAGCGAGCTGCCGCTTGTTTTGAATGCATCTGTGTCGGTTTGTTCTGCAGATGCATCGTTGACATGCATGGACTCGGTGTTGCACGTTTTGTCAGTTTTCCCTGTTGGTGTTTCTGGCGATTCGGTCTCAGCTGCCTCCGGCATTGTAGAATCAAACTGTTCTTCTTGCTTTGCTCCACTCGGAGAACTTGCAAAAACATCCTCTATTTGCTCCGCCGACGGAGACTCAGGATCCAACGGACTAATGAAGTCTTGGTTTAATGAAATGGCGAAGCCGTCGTTCGGTAAAACCACTGGCTCCTCGGATCTGGAGATGAGAAAGACGAGCTCCGGATTGGCGTTCCGGTGCAAAGCGTCTGCGTTCGCGCCATCGTCCTCCGGAAATCCTCCCTCGAAGGGTCCGACGTTCCACAGGCCATTCGCAGCTCCGTTTTGAAGCTCACCCACGCTGATGGGGAACCCGCACTCGCTGGGATCGGCTTGTAAAGATTTGAGCGTTTCCAAAGCCAGGTTTTCCACATCTTGCATATCCGGAGGTTGTTGAAGGTAGCAGAACGCCGCCACGTTTTCCACGACCTGAGCCGGCGACATGAAGCCGAACTGATCGCAGGCTGTCAGTCCGACCGGTACAGACACCTGCTGGAGACAGTGTTGGTCCACCGAAAGCGCAGCATCTCCGGCATCCGTCACCAGCTGTCCGGCATCATACGCGGCGGGATGCAGCGCAAACGCCTTGCTCAAGGAAGGAACGCCGTAGATCGGGGAATGCTCGGAGAAGACGTGCGACCGGCTCACGTAGGAGAGCGTGACGGTCGTGTTGGAAAATGCATTATCCAGTTGGATCTGGTCTGTGGGAAGCGGAAGAGGTTCAGGATTGGTTTCGGGAAGCAACATCCCATTGCTGGTCCCAGGATTGACAAACCAGCCCGGCGTCTGGACGACATGCAAGGCGTCGATGGGGTTGGCTTTCAGAAGGCATTCCTCGGCATTCCACGTCAGATCGAAGATGTTGGGGAGGCTGCAGGCGGAGGACAGATCCTGAGGCTGTAAACCATCCGAGTCACTGGCAGGCTCTTCCATATCAACTGAGAGCAGAAACATGAGGATCAATTTTATTAAAGGGTCATGAAACCCCGTTTCAGCACTGGTTAGTTCTCACTACAGTTTTAAAAAATGCTGAAAGAGTGGGCGTGGTGCGCAGCGGAGCGGAGGGGGAAGAGAGGAGACAGACAACACACACAGCTTCGGGTTCAGAAGTCCAGAACCACAACCATTTGCACTCTGCATCAAAAACATATATACTTTACGCACTGTTGCACCTCTGATAACCCAAGGCTTATTCTGCGGCGTTTATATAAGCTTCTTCTCATAGGATAAGAACACGCAGTCTCATGAATAATTTAATGGACACCGACGCGTCATCGATGTTCTATAGTCCTTTGCCACGTCACAAATTGTGACGTCAACACAATGTAGATTTTAAACCCGGAAGATGAAAATAGCGCAAAAACGCTTAAAATTAATCAGTTTTCTCAAACAGTTAAAATTATCGGATGCTAACATTGTCTTCTATAATGTGCAACACAAACACCTCTGCTAAAATCTCAGTAGTAGTAGTCTGGGGTTTCATGACCCTTTAATAAGGCACCATTAAAAAATGCAATTTGACCAATCTTTAACCATAAAAAATTAAATATTTATTCAAATTAAATTTTAAAAAAGTTGCATTAAAAATGCAAAAGCTACAATAACAACAACAATAGTAATAATTAAAATAATAAAACTGGAATCAGATTTTCTCTACAGCTGCTCACAACCGTTTTAATTTGGAGGCTCTGAGAGCAGAAACATGAGTGCCAATTTTGTATATAAAATTTATACATAATTCACCACTAAAAACAATGCAAGTTGACCAATGTGCTTTGACAATAAAAAATTTATATTTAATAAAAAAAATGCAAAAAGCTAAAAACTATATTAAATTCAATATTAAATATATACTAAAGCTGGTCATATGCCAAATATTAGAAATATGTCTTCAAACTGGATTTGAAAATCCTGAAAATTATGTTAAGGTTGCTCTAAATTATCAACATGACTTGATCACATTTTTGATCCACTTTAGATTCATGCAATCAGTGTCAGAGCCATTTGCGCCATAGCGGAAATATTACGCAAGACAAGAGCTACTGCGCATTGAAAAAAATAATAATTGTGGGCATGATTTAAAAAAAGCCAAAATGGTCTTTACAGTCACACTTGTGTCTTGTAAGTAGAGCAACATTTTCTTTATTTCTATTTCTCACCGATTTTAAACACCTTTGTTCTTTAACCTTTTAACTTATTGTATTAATTGAAAATATTATTAAATATTTTTTCTATTATTTTATACAGGAAATGGTGCTAATTAGGAGTTTAATACTGTGTAGGACTATGAAATACAAAATATTAAAGGATAAATATTACTGAAACAAACTAAAGCACATTTCATTATCAAAAAAAAGTTACGCTTATTTTTTTTTCAATCCGTTTACGGAATACCAGGTTAATATTTACCACGGTAATGAACAATTACTATATTTGTACACCATAGTATTTTAATATAGACCACAAGTAATATGTACTACGGTATTTGCATAGTACAGCAAAGCATACCACGGATTATTATTTGCTGTACTTCAGGTTCCCTGTTGAAAAAAACAGCATATGCTGGTTAGGTATGTCTTGACGCTGGGATGCTGGTTTAAGCTGGTCCTTTTGCTGGTTTAAGCTGGTCCTTTTGCTGGTTTAAACTGGTCCTTTTTATGCTGGTCCTTTGCTGGTTTAAACTGGTCCTTTTGCTGGTTTAAGCTGGTCCTTTGCTGGTTTAAGCTGGTCCTTTTGCTGGTTTAAGCTGGTCCTTTGCTGGTTTAAGCTGGTCCTTTTGCTGGTTTAAGCTGGTCCTTTGCTGGTTTAAGCTGGTCCTTTTGCTGGTTTAAGCTGGTCCTTTGCTGGTTTAAGGACCAGCTTAAACCAGCATCAACACATACCTAACCAGCATATGCTGTTTTTTTTCAACAGGGTTAGTGTCTGGATACTTTATAAATCACTTTTGTGATTTATGCATTTGATGTAAAACCGAAAACTCATGACTAGGCCTTAATTAAAGGCCATAACAACCTGTTTTATTGACTGCATTCATGGATTTATTAGCGCATAAACTAACACTGATGGCATGAATCTCTGACACTCCCGACCTGGAATAGTCATGTTTTATCTCCAAAATCGGCTAAATCTGTCTTTTGCACTAAATAAAATCACGTATGATCTGGATAACATCCAGAACTGTCAAACATCCCCAGACCAGATTTAATCCGGGTTCGTCTGGTTCTTCAGGAGTCGCTTTACGTTACCCGTCCTGTGGTTCTGTGTCGCTTTCCGTCTGGCGTTTGTTATGCTAACGTTAGCATAGCAGGCTGTTAGCATGCGGGCTAATATACATTCTAACAACACTAAATAACGCTCACCAACGCGTCCAGCAAATGGATGTCGTTATGAATCCCAATTAAACAGCGCAATTAATCAGAGATAAGCACCGCAGGCTTCCGTTAGCAAAGCAAAGCGAGCTAAACAAAGAGCGAAGAGCGCGCGTGCAGAGACTCACCCGAGCTGATGCATTTATTCACGAAACCATCGCAAACTCCATCCCGCTGGAAAGAAACTCTCTTTCAGGTGCAGCCGCTTCTGTTTGAGTTCGGACTGAATAATGCATGAAACCAGTGGTTTTGGTCACGGCTGCGCTGTCAGAGTGAGCCATTGCGCAGCATTATGCGCAACAGTGTAGTTATTATGCGACACAAGATGCTCCTTTAAAGCAAAGAATTGTGATGCATCTCTTTGCATTTTTACTTCAGGATTCACACATAGCTGGAACAATGCATTTCTAAGAGTTGCTGTATTTGAAAGCATCTTCCAGTTCTAAAAGCACATTTTGAAGTCTTTCAAATGTTCCAGGTTTTTATTGATTGTTGGGAGCCTGATAGTCGGTTCCTTGAAAATAAGTGCAAAGAAGAAAAAACTAAACACACAAACATTTTTTTCCCCCTTCTCAAATATTAAAATAGGGTACTCATTAACATTTTATTGTAAATAAATGTAAACTAATAAACTCTTTATTGAATATTAATTTATTGCTTATTTTTTAAATTATCTTTTGTCCAAAATGAATGTGCAATTAATTTGATTATTCAGGACATTGTAATAAATTAGATTTTTAAAAATGTAACGGATTCACATCCCTAATTGTCGTATAATTTCATTTATAAATACATGATGACTTATAATATAAAAAAGCAACAATACAGGGTTCCTACATCCGGCATGTTGTATGAAAGTAAATTTTAAACTTTTTAAAGACCTTTTTAAGACCAAGTAAAAAGTTTGAACATATAACCTTCAACAGATTTCTATTACTTTTTAACTATTTCTTCCAAATAAACACAAAATTTAACAAACCACTACAATACAGAAACAACTTTTACTGTACCTTGTGTACAAAAAGTGTATTTTTGTCTTGTTTTAATGTCTAAAGATTCTTAAACTTCTTATCTCTTGAGAAGTAAAATGACAAAAGTGAGAAATTGATCAAAATGAAGTGAATTTATGGTTTAAATCAGAGCAAATATCTGCTAATGGACTTGGAATATTTTCATTCCCAAAAAAACAAAAAAAAAACTTAATTCAGAGGGAAAACACTTTCATTTCCCACTCCCATATATTTCTTGTTTGAAGTATAAACTCATTTTTTTTCCTTTTCTCAGAAAACAACTTACTCTCGCAAAATTTCTTACATTTGTATCTGAGAAAAAAAAAATCTGAAGATGTACACACATTTAATGCAAGACTTTCCGCTCTTTTAAGACCAGCAGACACCCTGCAATATAAATAAATGACAGATTAATCAGTGCAAAAGAGGGTGCAAAAATATTTATTGCTAATAAACCTGTTGTCAGTTCGTGTACATTTGCAGTATATTTACAATAATGTATAGATGAATGGAAATGTGAGACAAAAATTCATAACATTTAAATAAATACAATGGACTGCCACTGAACAACACCGCAGACTTTATCAGCTTGAAGAAACAAAAAAAAAACACCTCCCATTCACGTGAGTGGACCAGTATTCATTCATAACGGCAACCTTATACAGCCTTGTTAATATTCTTTAGAGCAGCCCAAACCCTTTCAGGTCTGTTCCTGTGTGCTTTACAGTCATCAGAAATGGTCCTTTATTTAAAACATCCGGAGAAGCTGCAGAAGGTCAGCGGTTAATGATGCAAGCGTCGACTAAATGCAGCTATTTTATATGCATCCCATTTCACTAAAACAAGAAAGAGCCGGAGGAAATGCGCAGAGTGACCACTTCTAGCGTCACGCGTGATGATTCCTGCCGTGCCAATAATCTGGTGTCGAGTCATGACGTGGGTTACTTCCTCCACTGGCGATTCACACAAACTAAAGAGTTCAAACAGTAGCTTACACGGCCGTGTTTAGTGTACGCATGATAGATGCTTCATTAAAAACAAAGTATTTACATTAAGACATGGCAATGAAAACAAACCAACAACGTCACAGTAACTGAAGTGCATGAAATGCAGACTATAGACATAAAACTCAAACTTCATACCATGTTTAATATACGCTGTAGCTGTGACCAGTGTGTCTCTAAGTGATTGATTATTGGGCTAAAATATGCGGCTCTTTATTAGCATGCAGCGAGGCCGGTCGACGCGTCCGTGTCAGAAGTCCTTAGTGTCCTTGTTGTCGAACAAGTGAAGTCTCTGCTCCGCCGTCAAACCTTCCTTCAGACTCTGGAGACGCAAACAGAGAGACTCAAATGTGGTGTTTTGAAGCAGTTTCTGTGAGCATGTCCATAAAAACAGGGTTTCTGCAGGTTTGATGAAGATTGACTTGTTTTAAGATTAATTAAGGAACACAATATGTGACCCTGGACCACAAAAGCGTGGGTATATTTGTAGCAGTAGCCAACAATACATTGTATGGGTCAAAATTATAGATTTTTCTTTTATGCCAAAAATCATTAGGATATTAAGTAAAGATCATGTTCCATGAAGATATTTTGTACATTTCCTACCGTAAATATATCAAAACTTCATTTTTGATTAGTAATATGCATTGCTAAGAACTTCATTTGGACAACTTTAAAGGCGAATTTCTCAATATTTAGATTTTTTTGCACCCTCAGATTTCAGATGCATCTCGGTCAAATATTGTCCTATCCTAACAAACCATACATCAATGGAAAGCTTATTTATTCAATCTTATGACTGGTTTTGTGGTCACATATGTCGATATGATCTGTGAATGTAAATGTCCAGGGACATGCATGTATTGTTTCACAAGTAGTGCATTGTATTTGCAACACTTCAAAGTCTGAAAATGCCACTTTCGACAATTACTTTTTATTCGTTTTACAAAAAATAGCTTAAGCTTTGAATAGCTTCTGATCACACGGCAAAAGTACTTCTGTCTTGTTTTCCAGTGTGAATGTCTAAAGATTCTTAAATCAAGATACGTTTACTTGAGAATCAAAATGATAGAGCATGTCGTTTTCTGTGATATTGATCCAAATGAAGCGAGTTTGATTAAAACAAGAACAAATATCTGCCAGTGGAGTCTGAAATATCAACTGAATTCAAAATGAAAAGTTTTCACATCCCACTGACAGAAACTCACTTAATTGTGTTCAATTTCTTAGAAAACATTTAGCATCTCAAATAAATGTATTTTGATTTAAGGATGTTTAGATATTTGTACTGGAAAACGACAAAAATACTGAGGAAGATATTCATGTTTTGCAGTGCATGCAACATTTAATGCCATGACTTTATGAATGTAAGACTTTCTGCTCCGATTTAAGACCTTTTTAAGGTCTTCATTTGTGGAAGACCTGCAAAAGCCCTGTTCAAAGCAACTCTATAAAAAAAAAAAATTCAAAAAGTATTATTTTCTTCATTACAAATCCCTTTTGCAATGCTTTTTCATTGCGTTTAAATCAGTGACCCCAACAAAAATGACAAAAGTATTCAAAACTGCCAGCTGTGCCACCAACAAACTCCAGTGACACACACACACACACACACACACACACACACTCGCAGACGCATGCCGTGAACCGCCGCGACTGGTCCTGTGAAACTCAATATGAACGATTTCCAGCAACGCATATGGAAATGCCCTTGAGTCCACGAGACGCGCGTCTGATGAACATGAGATGACACGGACAGCCCTTCATTCAGCAGGTTTAATACAAATTTAGCAAATTTAGCATTGTCTGATGAAATTAATCAATAACACTGTAATCATGATGGAATCAAATGTAATCAAATGGATCAAATGGATAATTTACAAAAAAAAAATGGCATTTTTATTTTTGTTAAATAAGATGCTGTACAATAGATGAATGCATCCAATTACATGGATGAAAAGATATCTTGGTTGTATGATACTCCATAAAAATAATATAATTTTAGTTACAAAAATAATAATAACAATAATAATAATATTACATAATAATATAATTTCTTCAAGTTAAACAACTTTATTTTGTTGGTTTGTGGTGAAAATCTTTTGAGTTTTGGTGTATATTTGACAGTAGTGATGGTAGAAAAAAAAGTTTACAAAGCTTTGAATAAACTGCTTTGCAAAATGATTACTATAAAGTATATTATATTAAATGCAATTAACAAATCATCAAATACCATTAAATAAGAAGTGTCTGTATAATATGTGTTCTATTAATAACTTTCACGGCTTGTTTTAAACCATACATCAATGGAAAGCTTATTTATTCAATCTTATGACTGGTTTTGTGGTCACATATGTCGATATGATCTGTGAATGTAAATGTCCAGGGACATGCATGTATTGTTTCACAAGTAGTGCATTGTATTTGCAACACTTCAAAGTCTGAAAATGCCACTTTCGACAATTACTTTTTATTCGTTTTACAAAAAATAGCTTAAGCTTTGAATAGCTTCTGATCACACGGCAAAAGTACTTCTGTCTTGTTTTCCAGTGTGAATGTCTAAAGATTCTTAAATCAAGATACGTTTACTTGAGAATCAAAATGATAGAGCATGTCGTTTTCTGTGATATTGATCCAAATGAAGCGAGTTTGATTAAAACAAGAACAAATATCTGCCAGTGGAGTCTGAAATATCAACTGAATTCAAAATGAAAAGTTTTCACATCCCACTCACAGAAACTCACTTAATTGTGTTCAATTTCTTAGAAAACATTTAGCATCTCAAATAAATGTATTTTGATTTAAGGATGTTTAGATATTTGTACTGGAAAACGACAAAAATACTGAGGAAGATATTCATGTTTTGCAGTGCATGCAACATTTAATGCCATGACTTTATGAATGTAAGACTTTCTGCTCCGATTTAAGACCTTTTTAAGGTCTTCATTTGTGGAAGACCTGCAAAAGCCCTGTTCAAAGCAACTCTATAAAAAAAAAAAATTCAAAAAGTATTATTTTCTTCATTACAAATCCCTTTTGCAATGCTTTTTCATTGCGTTTAAATCAGTGACCCCAACAAAAATGACAAAAGTATTCAAAACTGCCAGCTGTGCCACCAACAAACTCCAGTGACACACACACACACACACACACACACACACACTCGCAGACGCATGCCGTGAACCGCCGCGACTGGTCCTGTGAAACTCAATATGAACGATTTCCAGCAACGCATATGGAAATGCCCTTGAGTCCACGAGACGCGCGTCTGATGAACATGAGATGACACGGACAGCCCTTCATTCAGCAGGATCACATGCACCATGGCAGAAAATAATCTGATCTGTTTGTCTGTCAATGCATGAACTAAAGCTGGGCGATATGGCCAAAAATACTATCACAATATCATCATTTATAAGTCGCTTTGAATAAAAGCATCTGCTAAAGGACTAAATGTAAATGTAATAATCATTTAGCAGTAATGAGGAAGGAAATGCTTCCACATGTTTGTCAGAATGAATGTAAACATCACTCGATTGTTCACAATCAAACTACAGAGTAAGATACCTTTTAATTTAGGGCACCTCTTCATATAAATTCTGTTTTACATTTGATTTATTCTGGATTCTGTGTTTTATGATTTAATACAAATTTAGCATCAAAAATGGTGTCTGATGAAATTAATCAATAACACTGTAATCATGATGGAATCAAATGTAATCAAATGGAAAATATAATTAATTTACAAAAAAAAAATGGCATTTTTATTTTTGTTAAATAAGATGCTGTACAATAGATGAATGCATCCAATTACATGGATGAAAAGATATCTTGGTTGTATGATACTCCATAAAAATAATATAATTTTAGTTACAAAAATAATAATAACAATAATAATAATATTACATAATAATATAATTTCTTCAAGTTAAACAACTTTATTTTGTTGGTTTGTGGTGAAAATCTTTTGAGTTTTGGTGTATATTTGACAGTAGTGATGGTAGAAAAAAAAGTTTACAAAGCTTTGAATAAACTGCTTTGCAAAATGATTACTATAAAGTATATTATATTAAATGCAATTAACAAATCATCAAATACCATTAAATAAGAAGTGTCTGTATAATATGTGTTCTATTAATAACTTTCACGGCTTGTTTTCGTTTTATGAAGGGCTTGTCTAAACCAGCCAACAACAGACTATTAACAACTACTCTTCCTTTTAATTACACAAGCGTCTTATGAACAATGTCTATAAACGCCAAGATCAGGTGAAAACTATAGTAGACACAATGAACTCGTTTACTGAAATCACGTGGCTTTGGAAGTTATACACGCTCCAAATCACTGGTTGATTCACCACGGTTTCATGAAGAAGAGTTTCAAAACACCTATCACTACTTGACGGTAGTTGTTTTTCTCAAAGTAAATGGCGTAAAGCTGCTGAAGTGACTCTTGGAGCAGCTCTGGAGAGGAAGTTCATGTCCCCATATATTGAGATGAGCATCACATGCGTTTGTGTAGTACATGAAACTACGCAGAACATGCAGATTATTACAGACACACACTGACAGCTGCTGCTGCTGTTAGATTCATCTAGATCCACTAAAAACCACCAGAGCTTATCATGGCTTTATCATGATCTCAATGTGATCTGGTTTATCGCCCAGCCCTAGCATGAATCCCTCTGAATGATGCACGGGGAGTTCAGCGCATTCGCTCCCTTCTAAGGGCTTTTACCTAAAATCAGAAGTCAAAGGTCTTCAGGTTTAGTCTTTAGCTGTCCCAGGGCATGTCACGACTCACAGACTGGGAACAGAGGAAAACACACACACACACACACACACACACACACACACACACACACACACACAGGACTGTGTGTTAGAGGAGGGAATGTGCAAAAGTCTTACCGCTACCTATCAGGCTTTTTCCTGGACAACAAAACAAAACACAGCACACACACAGTTCAGTTCCTGACTGTTCACAAGCAGAAGCTGCTGTATTTTGTCAACAACGTGTTGACCTGAGGGTGGCAGTGTGAGCTTAACTAACTCTTATTCAACACCAGAGGACTCAACGTGTGTGTGGAAACCTACCTTTGACCTCATGGTGCGTTCGGAGCGTTTGGCTGCTGCGGCCGCCATCTTTAAAATGTCAGGATTGCTCTTCGACTTCATGATATCTGAAAGACATGACAGCCGGTCGTTTCATAACATGCACATGAATGAATTTGAGTGTGGGTTGATTTCGAGACGAGGGTCGTACCGTAACCGCCGCGCTCCGCGTCCTCCAGCGCGGGATCCCCCAGTGCATCATGGGCCTGCTGCAGCTGCTCGCGCAGTCGGCTCAGATCGCACTCTGCTTTGGCCCGTACGATGCTCAGCTCCGTGTAGATGTCCTTATATTTATCGGTTGCATATTTTTTATCCTATCAAGAGATGTGGCACAGGTTATTAACGTTAATCCACATGCATTCCTTCATCAGGGTCCTTAAAAAGTCTTAAAAATCAGTTTGATCAAAATTCAGGTCATAAAAACTCTTTAAAAGGCTTTTTTTATCATTTTAGGAGATCTTAAATTTGGGTACAAAAAAATAGTTCATTATATTTTAATTTATTGGCATATCAGCTTCACAGGCTATTACATGGCAGATACAGATTCAACACAATAGAATTGATACAAACATTTAATAAATTTCAATTAAAAAATTATTTAAATGTAAATTATGTCAGTTTACACGTTACGGTATTTATATTGTTCTATGTTGTAGATGGTTTTAAGAGTGCAGGAGCTTCACATTTCAAAATAAGAGTCCCAGTGTATTCAGGACTGTTTATAATTAAAAGTCCTGCATAATACATAAAATACTTGTTTATTTTCAGGTTACACAAACTTTATCTGGCATTTAATTTAAACGTTAACTCAATCTGGGCCGCCCATCGCAGGAAGGAAAGACTAAGAACATTATTTACCATGCAATTTATATATTTTACAAATATCGGCACAATAATCTATTTCTTTGAACACATTATCATCGTATCTACAAAATCAAATATCATTGACCTATAATTCTAATGTATTGATACTATATTAGAACATAAACCAATTGCAATACATAAGCATTTACTAAATAAAACATTAAATATTTTAAACTTGAATGTGTGCCACAGCCTGTTTAATAAAAACTAAAACAAGTCATTTTGAGATTGTATGAATGTGTTTTGTAAGGTCATACAGTATTCATTTTATTTGTGCAAGTCTTGAAAAATGTGTAACAAGTTCTTGAAAATGTGTTTTTTTTTAACTCTTCAAACATAAATGAAGTCGCAACACTTACTCTTTGGGCAGTCTGGAGCTCATCTTTTAAAGAGTTGATCTCCTGCTTCAGATACTGCACTTCTGACTCCTTCACCCTCAACATTACCTGTGAACGCAAGTGACGATGAGCTTTTCATTCCTAGGATGCTGTGGAAAAAGAGCGAGACATAAAGGGAAGAAACAGACCTCCAGCTCATACAGCTCCTTCCCCTGTATGACCCCGCCAGTGTCTCCGCCGTCCTCGCTCGTCATCGATCGCATCTTAGTGATCTCAGCTGCCAGACGATTGTTTAGCTCCTGCATAACAGACAAGAAGCATAAAACAGCACGTTGGGGGACAAAATCAGGTCTTATGTGCATCTGAAGTGGATTTATTTGCGCTAAGGTCATGGTTAGCTGCAGTGGTAATTTTGACAGCAAATTTTGATTTCGTTTTAAGTTAGTCTTTTGACTAAAACCTCATTTAGTTTTAGTCATCTGAACTGTTTTAGTCGACTAAATGTTAAACTGTAAAGCATTCATTAAAAATGTATCCAAAATGTCTAAACTCATTATATACTCCAGGAGAAAACTATGTATTTACCTGTTAATATGAATGATATTAAGGTTTGACGATGCAATACAGACACAGATTTAACTGATGTGACGCATAACATGCCTTTATTTATCTTTAAATTAAATAAAACCACTTCTCATTAAGAAAAAACATGGTCTTTTCAATAAAGGACCAGTAGTTATATATGCATTCTTTGTAACAATTTGCGTACGTCCTTCTTCACTCTTTCAAGCAGACATTTATATGAACTAAATATAGATTAATACTAAAGTGATTCAGTCATGAGTAGAGAGTGATGTTCTCTCTTTTTTGAAACAGACAATAGAAGGTTTATTAGGCTGCTGTCACTTTAAGACCTAATGCATGGATCCGATATACTGACACACATCTGAAATTCTCACAACTGCTTACATTCACTCAATACATATCCGACTCTGAATACTCACCACAATGGACAGTTTGACATAATTTTGTGCGTATCTGTCTGTTAAATCACAATAAAATGAGAAAGAGAATTCAGTTCTCTCCCTAACATTTTTGTCTCATTTCGTTGTCTCATTCATTGACGAAAAGGTCAATAGATTTGCAATAGTTTTTGTCATTCAAAATAGTTTTTTTATTTAGTTGTAGTCTCATTTTTGTCAGTGAATAGGGCCCTTCATTTCATTTCATTTCATTCTTTGGATTCTGTTTTAAAGGGGTCATATGATGTTGCTAAAAATAACATTATGTTGTGTATTTGGTGTAATGAAATGTGTTTATGCGGTTTAAGGTTAAAAAAACATTATTTTCCACATACTGTACATTATTGTTTCTCCTTTATGCCCCGCCTTTCTGAAACGCGTCGATTTTTACAAAGCTCATCGGTCTGAAAAGCGAGGTGTGCTCTGATTGGCCAGCTATCCAGTGCGTTGTGATTGGCCGAATACCTCAAGCGCGAGACGGAAATGTTACGTCCCTACCATACTGTGATGATGCCCTGTCCGGCCGGAGCGACGAGACAAAAACATTAAAACATCTGAATATTTGGGTTAAACTGTTCTGAAACAGTGTTGCAAATACAACTTGACCAGTGATTTCTAGTCGTGTTCTCTTTTGGAAGGCCAAACAAAGTTTCACTTTCACAACGAAACAGCGTCACACACGGTGGGCTAGAGTGAACGGAGGCCGGATTGAGTGAGCGGAGGCCGGTGGGCTTGAGAACGGTGCGGCCGGCGGATATCGTCCTCTTTTGGAAGACCAAAGAAAGTAGTTTCGCTTTCACAACGAAACACACAGCGTCTTCACGACATGGCGGCAACAACAATACTACAGCGAGAATAAAAGTTACGCCTTCTTTCTTTGCGTGAACATTTGGGCGGCGTTATGCAAATCTTCCCACATAGTGACGTAGACATGTGGGGGCGTGTTAGAACGAGCCGTTTTAGGTAGGAGTGGTTGACTCTTAACTTTTATAAAGAATATCTCTTTGGATTTGAGACTTTAGTCTTTGCAACTTTTTAAATCGCAAAAATTCAAATCGCATCATATGACCCCTATAATGGTTAAATTACATTTTATTAAAAAGCATGTCTAATGAATTAAAATCATGAAACTTATACAAGTTAATGGCAATTTATTAAAAGTTTAACAAAAATCTGATTTTTAGTGCCCCATTAATGTTTTGTTTTTTTTACCAAATTCTGTGTTTTCCATGTTGATTTTTCTGGATTTCATTTTACTGGCTTAATTAAATTTGAATAATCAAAATGAAATGTTTAGGGGTTTTTTTCTCCAGAAATACTGTTATGTGCTTTATTTTTTCTGGTAATTAAATGATGGCATAAAACATCATAAAACATACAATTCATCTTTTAAGCAAATGACAATTAAACAAACCCTTTCAAATTTTTTGGCAAACAAAGTGCTGCTCAACAGAGGTTAATTACTAAAATTAAAAAAATGGAAGAAAATTTTTATTATTATTTATTAAAAATAAAGCTTTAATAATAATTTTATTTTTAGTAGTAGTAATAGTAGTAAGACTACATTTTACTGTTCAATAGTAATATATTTCTGTCACAATTTCTTCAAGTTAAACTGAACTTTTACTTTTACGGGTTGCCGTGCAGTTTTGTTTGTGTGTGTATATGATGTGACAGTAGTTTTTCCGTCAGCAGTTGTGGAGATGTTGTTTATGTATTTATGTCCTCTTTTAGTGAGACGGCAGACTCTGAAAACATTGCCAGCGTCACATGCTTAAATAGGTAAAACTGCGCGTTTGCGCCATTCATTCACACAGAGACACACAGAACATGCAGGATTAGTCTATATCACCATTTGATTTAAGTGTACTGACCTACTTTTGATTTATTCATTCAAAATTTGGCATCATAGAGCCCTAAGTGAAAAAATTCTGTGGACGAAAAGCATGCTGGAAAATATTTTTCAGTGAAATTAGCACTGGTTACCTGGTTGTGCGCATTGAGTTCCTGGTTCTCCCGCTGGCACTGTCTGAGCGCCTGTCTCTCGGCCTCCAGCGCCTGGGCCAGATGAGCGTTTTCTAAGCACTTCTGCGAGTACTGCTCTGACAACACCTCGATCTCCCTCTGGTACGACATCAGCTCTTCCCTACAACACAAATGCATGTGCATTTTTCCTTTCAGTTAAAAGTGATAATAAAAGAGCGAGACCTTTAAGTCTAGACAGAAGTCCAGCCAAGAGCCTGAGGGCAGATTACGAGCATGTACACAAAGAAAGAACCTGTGCAATCACTCCAGATTTGGCATCTAGGCTGCGTTGCCCCAGGATACACTTGGCAATAGAGGTGGTCATGCAGTCAGGCTTTAAACCGTTTATCCACTCCAATTAATGTATTATGCAGAATGCACAAGACTTATTTGCGTATCGCAGCTTCAACAGTGAAGTCAGAAGAAAAGCATCATAAAAGCGAGGTAGAGGTGTGGCTTTGTAAACTCATTTCAAGCAATTAAATCTGAAGAGGCAGTTTATTTTTCAAAAGAATGCAAAGTTGCGGCTGCGCTGCATTATGAGGCTAAAATAGCGTAAAGGAATAACAACTGACTCGTGCTGTTTGCGGATTTCCTCTATGTCTGCGTTTTCATTGTTGCTGTTGGCCTTGCGCGCTTTCTCCAGTTCCCGCTCAAGCTCCGTCCGATGTGCATTCTTCATTGCTTCAATAGCTAATCAAAGAAAAACATAATTAAAAGGCTGTATATTTAGTAATGTGTCTTACAACCAGAAATTGACATTAAATTACTCTAAAACTATAAAATAGATTCAGGAATGACTCTTCAAACTTTTGTTACAAGTGTTTGCTGAGAAATACTTCCTAAGACATTTGATCACTTTTACCTGGAGAGGATTTTCTTTTTCCCGAAATGCTAGTTATTATTATGGTACTGCCAAAATTATCCACAAATAGTGCTTTTTTTCCACTCAAAAACTGAGGTTCATAAACTCAGAGGCCTCAGTCAATTCCAAAAAGAAATACAAAACCTGTGCTAATTGAAATAAAACAAGGACTGAATCCAAGATTTGGTGATAATACAGCATAATAAGTTGGGGGGTGCACGATATTGGATTGTTGCCGATATCCGATATGCTGATATTTTTCAACTCATTTTGGCCGATACCGATATATTTCCTTTTGTTTGGAAACAAGACCAAGTCTCTCCTGTGTGGAAATTATAAGCAAATAATTGTTACTTTTGGTTAGTTTTTAACAAGAACTTATTTTTTAGAATTAAAGGGGTCATTGCTTTATTGCACGTTGCTAAAAAGAACGTTATTTTGTGTATCTGGTGTAATGCAATGCGTTTATGCACATTTAAAGCCATTATCGGCCGATTCCAATATATCGGTCCGATAATATCGTGCATCCCTAATAATAAGATATTTACAAACAATTTTAAAAGTCTGGTCATTTATAACTGGGAACACCAAATTAGGTAAAGGATTTTCAGCATGGCGCAAGAGTTAAATCAGCACAATTTAATATTTTATGTTTAAGAGATAATGGATTCTGGCATAAGGAGCATATTTTTTATTAAGAATTTGCATGTGATTCTGGAATGTCCTATTCTACACTGCATATATACATGATCTGATCCCTGCGAATGATCATATTCAGCTATAGAATGACCCAAAACATCTTCTCCTGGCCCTTTTCGTCCTTACTAACCAGCTATAGTGGCTGCAGTCTCTTCTGCCAGCAGTCTCTCTTTCTCCTCCTGCAGTTTCTCCAGTTCCCGCTGGTGCTTTTTCTGCAGCTCATCGATTACCTTCTGGTGAGACTCTTCCATGGTGACAAAGCCTCGTTCACACGTCGCCTGTAGGGAAA